AGTGCTTTGCAATTATGATGAATTAAAAGTGGCAAATTAGGTATATGGAACTTGGAAGAGCCGTGAGTCCTCCTGATATTCTTGGATGGCCTTTTGTTGTGTCCATCTCCACCTCAGGGCTGTGGCAAGTGCCATGGTTGCTTCAGTTGTGTTAAGAATTCTGATTCAGAGGAAGTTGGATACAAAACAGGAAGGTGGGATAGTTTATATTTCTGCAGTTAAAAAATCTTTCAAATTTTCTTTTACTTTAGAGCTTAGCATTGTAACACAAAAGTCACAGATTCGGATCCCTATAATGGACAGCTGCCAAAAAAAATCCAATTGTTTTTCTTTTACTTAATTCTCGGGAATTACGTGCCCAGAGATAATACCCCAGAATTCATCCATGCATACTGGACATGTATCCAAAGGAAGGTGCTGAGTGCTGGGCCATAGAGCTAACCTCGCTGTCTCCACGCCAGCCCAGCTGCTGCAGACACCCTCTCTCTTCTTTCCCAAAAGACACAATAACAGTGTTATTGACCTGCGATTGATTGATTAAGATGTCCAGAGGGGTGATGCTGTGTATTAACTGGGGCAATTGGAAGACAAGCTCTGTGAACCAGACCCTTTTACATTAGCCTAAGAATTGTGCCAGCCACTCTGCTGAGGCCGTGCTCGCTACTGGGGAAGGAAGTTAGGCTGCTGCAATCACCTAAAACATGTGGCTGCTGTAGGGCCTTCAGTGAGATGCAGTTTTCTGCTCAGTTCCCATCTGCCCCATATTCTCTTTTATTGTGAGCATAAGCATCATGTAACCATGATGCTTATGAGGCAAGAACTGGGAAGTTATACTTTCTCTGTTGAACTCTTGAGAGAAAGGTGCTTTGCTCTGTTTAGTTGAAGTAGAGAAAAACTTTTTTTCTTTTTAAAGTCTTTCAAGTCTGATTTTGTACCCGTTTTCTTTTTCAATTTTCCATTAAAACCTTTAAAAGTACATGCAGAAACATTTGCCTTTAGACAATCTTGGGATCTGTAAAAATAAATCATAATAGGGCTTAAAATGAAAAAACCTTTTCATGATGCCATGAACTTCAAACATAAGCAATAATTGGAACTCTTACAAACAACAACAACACAGCAGCACCAAAACCAAAAGGGTATTGTTAACTCAGAGGTAACAAGTGTAACTATTGCATACTTAGTTGAACAAAATGACTTTTTGAAAAATTTTGTTGCCTTAGAGTTTAAAAAATTATTTTTTTGATTGAAAAAGTAATACGTGAATTGCTTCTTATCGTAAAAATTCAGATAAATTCCGGTAAAGTAAAAATATACCTTGACAACCCACTGTTATTTAGATTTCCTTATTGGAGATAATTACTTTTATCAGTTTAACGTGTACTTCCAGAATCCTTTCTGTGTGTTCGTATATGTGTGTATATACACTTGTAAGCACTATTTATCACGTTGTGTGCACTGTTCCACAACTAATTTTGCTTAATATGCCTTTGACATTTTCCATTTTAATTTTTATAAATCTACCTTATTCTTTTAAACTATTTTTTGAACTAGCATTCTATGGTGTATGATAGTGTGTTTGGCCATTCTCCAAACTGTTGATGGACATTTAGATTGTTTCCATTTTTGCTATCACAGACTGCTTCAGTCAGCATCCTGGATGAGCCTCCTTGTGCATTCCCCTAGTGTAGACACTAAGTAGAATTGCCGGGTCGAAGAATGTGCTCATTTAACATTTTAATGGATGTTGCCAGATTGGCTTACAAAAAGGCTGTATTAATTTACACTCCTTCAGTAGCATGTGAGGATACACAATGGACTTCAGATTGCATTTTCTGGGGATACACACATTTCTTTTTGGAGCAGGATCTCTGTGTTTAGCAAAATCATTAGTTTTTCATTAGGTCATACTATTTACTTGTGCTTCTTTAATATTATTCTCTTTTGGGCTGGCTGGTAGCTCAGTTGGTTAGGTCATAGGGATCGGATCCCTGTACAAGCTAGCCAGAAATAAACAAACAAACAAATAAATAAATATTTTTTAAAATTCTCTTTTCTTTTCCATTTTTATATTTGATATTACATAGGGAGTACAGACACCATACCTTCACTTATCTGCAATGCAGGAAGGAGATTATACGTTTCAGCTGATGGTGACAGATTCTTCAAGGCAACAATCCACTGCTCTGGTCACCGTGATTGTCCAGCCTGGTAGGTGAGATGGAAAAGAGATCTGGCCCCAGAGACTAAGGCAGAAATGATAGCTGGGCTTCTGAGCTTCGGATTTGCCAAATTTGGTGGTGACATCTCTAAGTCTTCAACCTCTCAGGAAATCAGAGCCACAGGAGTTGAAGCTCCACACAAGCCACTTTTCTTTTGAGGTTCTGAATCTTGTTTTCACTGTGACTCTAAACCATGGTGCATAGGACAAAATGAGAGCCATGCTCAGCACCACTTGCTGGCGATATGCCTTGCGGACGCTCCCATAGGTGTCCACTTGGCTGCAGAGAGCTCCAGGAGATCTTGAGGAGGCTGGTGGTTATACGTGGCCTGATGCTCAGGTGTAGCCTGACATTGGGGCACTGGCTCCACTTCAGCTCACTGTCCATGAATACTTTCATGAAAACTCAGGATTCGGCCTACTTCCAGATTTAAATAACCTTCGAGGTAGTTAGACCTTTGCTTGACAATGGTCTTTGCTTTAGAATTTTTCTAGAAGAGGCCTGCTAGTCCCAGCACCTCTGTCCAGTGTCCCAGCAATGAGAACATGCTCAACCTACTGACCACTTATTCATTTTTTCATTTATTTATTCAGCTAATACATAAAAAATGCTATTTAGTTAGGCCCTGAGGTTGTGGAATTAAACAAGCAAAGCTTGTGGGCGAGTTCACATAAAACTATGTGATCAGTGCCTTACTAGGGGAATGACATAGTGCTACTGGAGCCCACCAAAAGGGCACCTACCTGGGCTTGAGGTGTCTACAAAGAGCTCTTGCATGAGCTCAGAGCTGAAGCGTGAGTAGCAGTTAGATAAAGAAGGTGAAGGATGAGGAGTGGGGGACAAGAGGAAGAGCTTTTAGGCAGAGGGAACAGTATATATGAAGGCCACAAGGTGAAAGGGAGTCTGGTATATTTGAAGAATTAAAAATAATTAGTGTGCCTGGGGAGAGAGAAAAAGAGGTGGGGACATGGGAGTGTGGGGGTCAGACATCGATCCAAGAAAGGCAAGGGCTTGATTATAAAGGGCTTTGCAAATGTATGGTCATGTAAGCATGTTATCCTAGGGGCAATGGAAGGAAACCACTGAACTGGACTGAGTAGGACAATGAGTTGTGACCTGGTCCAGACATTGGGTAATGGCGGCCTCAGTTTTTAACTACATGACATTTTTTTTAGCAGAAACTTTATCTATTTATATCAATAACAATATCAGTGATACTTTACACCTTTTACTTTTGTTCAACATTTAAATAAAGTGTTTCGAACATTTACTACGTACCAGGCACTGCATTAGGTACCAGGGCTACAAAGAGGAAAGGAAGCAAGCCCTATGTGACAAAGCAGTCTCTTTACGCTGATGTCACCTACCTTCTCCCTCCCTCCCTTCCTTCCTTCATTCCTTTGTTCCTTCCTTCTTCCCTCTCTCTTTATATCCCCCTGTCCTTCCTCCCTCTCTTTTCCTACCCATCTTCTCTTTCCTTCTCGCTTGACTTAATGACTTTTGAAGATCTTTTAAGGAAACCAATGATGTGTATATCAGGAAACAGTGTTATTGCTGCCTTAACCCTAGTCTCAAACTCAGAACGTTCAGCTCCTGGGTCAGCTGGGAGACTGCAGTGTTCCACCCCAGGATTCCCAATAGACACTGCATTCTCTGCCTGGTCTGAATAGGAGTAGTTGGTTTAAATCAAGAAATCAGGGGATTGCAGACTTAATGCAAAGAGATACCGTTTTTTACACTGTTTCTGTAATTCCAGAAGACAACAGGCCTCCAGTGGCTGTGGCCGGCCCCGATAAGGAGCTGGTCTTCCCAGTGGAAAGTGCCACCCTGGACGGGAGCAGGAGCAGTGATGACCACGGCGTTGTCTTCTACCACTGGGAGCACGTCAGGTAGTCTGTCTCACCACTGCGGTGCTAGATTCGCGGCCGTGGCTGAATGCAAATATTACCCCTCCTCTGGAGGATCTGTAGTAAATCCTCAACTTGAGCTTGCTGAGGAGTCAGGATTTAAGCACGCTTCTAGAAGTGGCTGGGCATTATTGATGGATGAATATGTTAAGTGTGGATGGAGAGAATGGATGCTGATTGACAGTGGAGGCAGGTGGAGCCCAGGGCAGGTGGACAGGGCTGTCTTGGTGTGAGGGGTGCTTCACAAAAGAAGAGGGGCAGGGAAACTTGTGAGTGGTGCCGTCTACACTCAACCCATCCTGAAGAGACTGTAGACAGCAGAAGTGCAGAGTTAAGTGCAGAGTTTAATACCCATGTTATCTTACATTTTCTGAGCTTTACATGTTTAATCTCATAGAATCCTACATCAATTCTTAAGAAGTAAATATTAATATTATTTCCATTTTAAAGTTAAAAAAGCTGAGGCTTGTAGATGCTAGTGAGATCACCCAGCCTAAGGTTGCCCAGATAGTAAGAAAAAGAGCTGAGACCCTAACCCACGTCTTTCTGACCATCAGGCCCACAAAATTTTTTTTTTTTTTCTGACTGGTAAGGGGGTCGTAACCCTCGGCACAGTGTCGTCCACACCGCGCTCAGCCAGTGAGCGCACCGGCCATCCCTATATAGGATCTGAACCTGCGGCCTCGGCGCTATCAGCACCGCACTCACCCGAGTGAGCCACAGGGCCAGCCCAGGCCCACAATATTAATGGCTATACTGTAATTCCTCTTTCAGGAGATTATTTGGCTCATTTCCTCCTCCTTCATAGTCTCCCTAAAGACATATGAGGATTTACTCTACTTTTATTCAAAGAAGAAATGGGAGTAGTTTCTAAGACCCCATTTTCCAAGGATAGATCACTTCACTAGCAGCTCACTTAAAAAAAAACAAGAACAGAAACCCTCTTCCCAGGAATCCAGCAAGCTCTGTCAGAAATAGGCCTTATCTTTTTTTTTTTTCCTTTTTGTCTTTTTTCGTGACCAGCAACGGATCGCAACCCTCAGTGTCGCGCCCGTACTGGACCGGGACCGGCAACGGGATCGCAACCCTCGGTGTTGCACCCGCACCTTGCTCAGCCAGTGAGCGGCCGGCCTGTATGTAGGATCCGAACCCTCGGCGGGAGTGCCACCGCGCTCTCAAGCGGGGCACTGTAGCAGTGCGCCACCGGGCCGGCCCCTAAATAGGCCTTATCTTATGACTCATACCGAACTAGAGCATACAGATAGATAAAGAGTTATCTCAGGATTCTCTAGATGATGTGTATTATAGCTGGAAAAGGTAACATTTATAAGGTCTCAGATCACAAGCCTGCTGTGTTCAGAATCCCATGTCCCCTCCCTTGTGTTAACCACTGTCATGTTTTATAGAGGCCCCAGTGCGGTGGAGATGAAAAATATCGACAAAGCGATAGCCACTGTCACCGGTCTTCAGGTGGGTACCTACCACTTCCGTTTAACGGTGAAGGACCAGCAGGGACTGAGCAGCACGTCCACCCTCACCGTAGTGGTGAAGAGGGGTGAGTGGGCCTGAGTGGGCGGGGGCAGGGCTGTGCTGCTTCTCAGTCTCACGGGACCGCAACTAGGCCAGGATTGTTCAGAGATTCTGGGGTCTGCTTATTTGTTCACAGCAGATGCTAAACTCTGCCTGGCCATGAAAAGCCAGCCTTCTTCTGTTCACATTGCTGTTTTCCAATCGCCCTCTGCAAGGAACCAGCACTTCCTTTTGTTTGTAGCGTATATCTTGTCATGGCTTCACTTCCCTGTGACAACAGGCAATTAAAGACCTGTCCTCGGAAATTCAAGAGCACAGACACTCTCAAGTTCGATATTGTCTCTTGATGTGAAATTTGTGCTCTAGACTAGTGCAATACTGCCTTGGTACTTGTCTCCTCGTGTGTCTTCCCATTTGCCTGTGAGCTGCTGGAGGTCCTTTGCTACAGGCATTTCTGTATCCTTAGGGCAGAGTGTTAGAGTCATGGCAAATCATAACTGTTGATTAGTTGAGTAAATTAATGAACAGATGATTATGATGTGTCGAAGTACAGAGAAATAAAAGCATGGCTGGATGGAAAGATGCTGGGTAGAATGGCAGGAGCATGGGGCATTGGGGAGAGTGGTTGGGGCCCGGGGAAGAGGCTCAGCCAGGAAGGGTTGCATGTACCAAGGGCCATGCTTAGGAGTTTGAACTTTGTCCTGTGGGCATGTGGGAGAGGCTTAAGCAATTTTATCAGCAAAGTGATACAGATTTGAATTTTTCCAAACATTTTATTGTAGAGATTTTCAACCACACATAAATGTAGAGAGAATAGTCTTAACAGACCATTATATACCCATCCTCCTGCTTCGTATTAACCTTTTGCCAGTCTTGTTTCATTTATCAATTACATTTTCTTTAATTCTTGTTGGAGCATTTTAAAGCAAATCCTAGCATTATATTACATTAGCTATAAGATTTGGATTTTAAAAATATAACAGAGTGATTAGAAGAGAGACTGGAAGCAGGAAGAATAGTTAGAAGGTGACTGTAAACACTCTGGAGAAGAGAGGATATGAACCCTGTTGGAGACCAACAAGGGGGGACTAGGGGGGAAGGGTAGATTGGAAGGGTATCTGAATTGTCAGGACTCGAGAACTCGATGGGTCTATAGGGAAAAAAAGATGGTGTCTAAGATGTCATCAAGAATTTTGACTTTAGCATATGGGTGGGTGAGGGTGTGGTTACCTGAATCATATTCAAAGAAGAGCAGCAGTAGATTTTGAGGGGATTAAATTAAGATTTGGGTATATTTGAATTTGTGGCACTGGAGTGTCAGGGTGAGGTGCATAGGGGAGCATCAGGCCGGCATTTAAGAGTGTGGTAGCACAAGCAGAAAAGGAGGGGCCACCCTGAGTTCCAGCCATGAACCTAGAGAGGGTCCAGATGTTGCTTTTAACAGAGTGACTTTTGGGCTAACTCAATTTACTGCCTGTCTATTTCTATACGAATTTTTAGCCTTCCCCTATATCCACAATAGAATTAAGCCTCCTTAACACCAGACTCTCCCAATCTCTCCCAAAATGGAGGGTGGTGAATGAGATGGAAGAGCTCACAGTGGCACCGATTGCTTCTGCTCCAGCCTCTAGTGTCATTTCTCAGGATAAAAACAGCTGGTGACCCATGGCATGTCAACCAGCACTTGGCTGTTCTCACCCCCGTTTTCTGTGGCTTGACTTGTTTTTAAGGCGATGTTGAAAGGGGTCAGGTTGGGTCCCAGAGCCCCATCTGAACAAACAGTATTCACCTCAAAGCAGCCATCTCCACATTGGGGCTGCATCTTAAAACAGTCTCCCCACCATACCCCAGGCTTGCCACTTGCTCCCTGTCCCCTCTTTCCCAAGGCTGTTACATTAGAAGTGGCTCTTACATTGCCTCATTTATATCTGACATCTAGACAGAGGAGTGAGGGTCTGATTATTTTTTACCCAAGTTCTTTATCTTACTTAGACAGTCAAGATTTGGCAGCACTAGAGGGTGAAATATTTCTATGGCCAGATGGTGTGAACCAATACAAAATGATCCAGACTATATATTTTTTTTTTCCTTTTTGTCTTTTTTACTG